CCACCCCCCCGCTCCACACCAGAGAGCTGCACATCATTGATGTGGAGCCCCCGCAAGAGCAATGGGACTGTCCCCCGGGGTAGGGGAATGTCACTCCAAGAAGTGGCCCTGGCTGGGCAGCACGGGCCGTTTTGGGATGCCACAGCCCCATGCCAACAGGATGCCGGTCCCTGTCCGCCCTGGGGCAGCTTTCTGGCTCCGAGCTCCCTCCCCGAGGAGGGACATGGGCCAAGAGGGGCGGTGGGGACTACGGTGGGAAGCAGGTCCCATCTTGTCCCCGTCGCCCCACCCCAGAGCTCAGTACCCCAGTGTAAAGGAGCCGTTGGAGGTTTCGGTGTAGAAACAGGTACTGTGGGACGTACTGGTGAGGCTGTAGGCAAAATACGCCACGGCCGAGCCCAGTGTTAAGCCCGTCATGTAGGACACGGTCATGGTGTTCCCTGTGGGAAGGGACACGGGATGTCAGGGCGCTCTGGCCACCCACCCCACGGGGTCCCCGGGAGGGTTTGGTCCTACCTGCCAGCTCCCGCTGCTCGGGGCTCACTTTCCCAGCGGCCAGGATCATGGGGACGCTGCCGAAGTAGCCGTTGGTGATGCCCATGAGAAGAGAGAAGATGCAGGGCCAGGCAGGGTGGCCAAAGGTGGGCTTCCCATTGGGGTAGACGCACATGATGAAGAGGGGGATGAAGACCACACGGAGGCAGGAGTAGACGAGGAGGTGGGTCCCTCTCCAGTCGTAGGGCAGGGCAGCCAGGATCTGCAGCGAGGGGCAGAGACCATGCTGTGGCGGCCGAGGAGGCTGGGGAGGGCAACATGGTGCCCAAAACGGGGCAGCAAGGAGAAGATGAGATGGTGGCAAGACCATCTGCTGCAGGACCCCAACCTCATCGATGCAGGTGAGCAACCTCACACTAGTTAGATAGATAACCGTGGGGTGGAGATGACCCTTAGTGGAGCCAAGCGGCTTTGAAAGAGCACAAAAAGGAGGCATAGTGGAAGGGACGCATCCACCCCACCGCGTTAGAGTTGGCCTCTCTCCTACCTTGCCAACGAAGTCAGAGAGGTTGAAGATGGCCATGATGAGGATGGGGAGCCATTCCCCCAGCGTGCAGTTGTGGATCTCTGACTCCAGCCCGGGAAAGAGGCACAGCGTGATGAAGTAGGTCATGGCGATGGAGAGCATGTAGGCCCAGATGAGCCGGGACACGACGTAGCGGTGGAGCAGCATGTCTGGCAGGTACGGGCAGCAGGGCTCAGCCAAAACTCACAGCCCTACCCTTGCAGAGCCTGAAAGTCTTGCCTGCACCCCAACAGTGGCTTCCAAAGACATAATTGCCCCATGTTTTTGGGTGCATTGAGAAGGGATGACCCTTCCCCAAAGCCCTAGGCCACCGATTGCTCCTTCTCCCCGCAAAACCCTGCAAAATTGGCTCGCCCCCTCCCCTGAGCCCACCACGCACCTCTGAAGCTGGGCCAGCTCCTCTTGATTTTGGGCCGAGGGACGTCAAAGCGCATGTAGGTGCCACTGCCGGCCAGCTCAGCTTCGGGGCCTGGGCTGCCCCGGGGGGAGCTCGGCTGCCCCCGCGTCCGGTTCTCCTGCATGAAGGAGAGAGAGGACACCAGTGCTGAGCTCCAGTGGGGAGTGGGGCCCCAGGGGGCATCAAGGAAACCCGCTCTTGACTTACAAATCGGACATCCTCGGCAGTTACATCATGGTGGACGCGGTAGCCCGTCCCATGGTCACCAGCCCGCCGGGGCTCGGGGAGACCCTTGCGGGAGCAGGCGGTGTAGTAGCGGACAAAGCGGGTGCGCTTCACCAGGAGGTGGAGGATGAAGCACGTCAGCTCCATGCCGATGGAGATGAAGAAGAAGATGACTGTGTTCTCCTTCTCATCTGACAACAGCAGCTTGGTGAAGATGCGGCTGAGTGAGATGATGACCCCGGCGGTGCCTGGTGGCGCAGGAGAGCTATTGGCACCAGGTCCTGCTGAGTCCCACAGCTTGGGGACCCCCAGCAGCCCCCCACCGTATGGAGGTGATGCCTCCA